ATAATGGCATTCTCTAGGTCTCCACAGTTGGAAATGGAAGGGAAGAAGAGCTGGGGTGAGCCAGCCTCCAGCAGATTTGAGAAAAAAGAGAAGCACTCACAAATACATGAAGTGAGGTATTCCCAAAAGAAGTAAGAAAGTATCAATGTCTCTTTGCTAAGATGCACACCTCAAGCACAACTTGCTCACTCCCACACAATGGAGATTAATTCATGCAGGTACAAACACAGAATTTGGTAGAATGCCAATTTTATCTTTGGGAATGAAACCATTAATAAAATTAACATTGAGGAGATAGAATTGTTCCCTAAGCACAGAATAGAGTTTAAGAACCTACATTAAAGGATACTGTGGGCACAACAAAAACAGGTGCACTACAGCTGGGGATACACTTACCTCAGAAATCTGAAGATTCCTTTCAGAAGAATGAGACTTTGGGCCGGGTTTTCAGTAAGGGTAGCAGGACAGAAAATACCAAAATCAAATGAACTGATCAGTTTTAGGGTGGATCAGGATATGAAAGTAGTCATATGAGAGAGAGCCATATGGAAGAGTGACATCTATAAGAGGAGATTGGGTTTAAGGGTTGGAAAACTCTCATAGGTTCTGAATTCCAGTCTTACAAAAATGCTTTAAAATTATATTCTACAGAGAAAATAAAAATTATTAGTTCTAATAATGTAACATCTGCCTAGTAAGGTAGGACACAAAAATCCACTTTAAAATGTATGCACTAAAAACAAACAGCTTGTTTGAGGTCTTCTTAATTTACTAGTCTTCTGGTAAATGTAATAACAACTTGCAATTAGTTTCTACCTAATATACATTTGTGTAAATGGTGACTACTGCTAAGCAAGTGTCAAAATCTAGAAGCCAAGGAAGGTATAGATTGTAATGCATTCACTAATAAATCCACAGGTAACTAGAAATATTTGCAAAATAAATCAGTGTTACTGTACAACAAGATGTTCTTTTGCATTCATGACATCATTGAAAAAAACCAGCCTAGGAAATATGTTTTTATTTACAAATTACAATGCCAATTCCAAAACTCCCAGCTTACAGAGATGTTTCTTCATATGCCTGTTGCAATCTAAAGAGAACTTTTAAGGACATAATAAATGTCTCTTTCAGGCAGGCTGTTAATATATTTTCCTCCTCAGCATCTCAGAGCCCTCTGCTGCGTGATGTCCTTCCTCTGTGGGGCTCGCTCACGCCTTGTTTACCTGCACAGAGAGCTGCCTGAGTGCCAGAGCTGTGCTTGCTGGATTGGAACAGACAATGCTCTTTGTGCTCCCGAGATAAGGGGTTGCAACAGTCAAGCTCGTTTTGTGCATCTCAACCACAAAATATGATCTTAATAATTACTGTGAATCAACTAAAATAGCAACTCATATCTTCTTCCCAATAGCCATACATTTAAAAGGTGCTTTTAATTTAGTGCTTTTTCATCTTGCTTCATGTGTTTGAGAATATTTCTTCCAACAAACTCACAAAACCTCCTTCCAGCAACAAAGCACAAGCTGTAAATTGTCCTATACCTCAGTTTTCTTTCAAAGCTCAGACAAAGGATTGTTCTTCCCCTTTTCATATTATGCCCACATAAATCAAAGCCCAGTAAAGGACAAGTCAAGTAATCTGAACAAACAGCCTACACTAAATATATGACTGGATTGTTGCATGTCATACTTCCCGTTAGTCACAGATAGAAACTAGAAACTTCTGACGAGGTTGACAAAGAAGCTGAGAGTAGAGCCATTGCATCATGGATATACTCAATAAGCCTGTTAACCTAGGACTCCATCATGCAGAGCTGATAGAGCACTGTCTGAATTTCTTTCCTCTGTTTTTTTTACAGCCAATGCCCCTTCTTGCAGGAACAACACTTGTGAGCTGTGCAGCGCCCTCTAATTATGATGGTTCGGTGATGGAACTGACTCCATCTGTCCAGATGTGTTTTCATGCTTTTCTCAGATATAGTCAGCCCTGTTCCTATCTATGTGCCAACCCAATTTTATATTCTGAAACAGGACTGACAGGGGAAGACAAGAGACTCCATCTCCCTCCTGTTACACTGAACATCGTTGGCTGATATAAATTGGCAACAACTCCACTAAATTCGGGACAGCTACATCAGCTTTATTTTGTTTGATGGTCTGCCATCTGATGATCTGTGCAATTCAGCTGATGGCCACACAGGGACTTTTTTCCCAGCTGCACTGCTGAGAAAATGACCTTGTTGCTAATGGGAAAGTCGTGAGTCTTATGATACAGTCAGAGATTCAGAAGTGAGGACACACACGCAGTAAAAGACAAGATGCCCAGCCCACTAGGGTTGTAATAACCCAGTGTCAGTAATGAAGATGTAAAGTCTGTTTCACAAGCCCCTCTTTGGTGGTGCTGCCACAGGGACATGGTAGAGCCCATCTGCAGCTGTGCCATCCTGCCTGTGCTGCAGAAAACCCACTTACCACAAAAGAATGTGAATAATTAAATGCTTTGCAGTCTTGAGGAAATTATTAAAAGCACATAATATAGACTTATAGATGTGGCAGTGAGACAATAGCACTACTGCCATGTTTAGAGAACACCAGCCAAACACACAGAACCACAGAACTGTGGGACCTGGACCCAACCGTTGCTATCCACAGCAAGAAAAATGTCATGCTATTCAACACCCATAGTCCCACTCAGGTATTCGAAAGCATGAATGTTGCTACTGAGCCATTTTCATGGGGACCTGCAGAATTCCTGATATTCATTGCCAAATGCTCCCTGGCATCTGCTATGAGGCAACTCAGCCTGCTCTGAATGAATAAACTGAAGCTGTTTCAAAAGACAAGAGTTGCTCAATGTCTCTATAATTTGCTCATCTGCAGATTTTGCAGTGCTTCTTTGACAGTGATTCAATGGTAGCAAAATCCCATGGAGGAAAACCAAAAGGAATGAGGTTGATGAGCTAAAGCAGTACCTCAAACAAGTCATCTGTCATTTATAATGGAGAGCAGTCAGCTAGGAGAGGAATGATAGTATACATAAGGTCTAAAATTGAAACCACAAAGTGATGTTTGAGAGGAATGAAGATGAAGGCAGCAAAACAAAAAGAAAATTACTGGAAAGCATTTGCATTTAAGCCCCGTATGTTTGAGAGCAGAATCATCTATTGTAAATTTCAATTAAAGCTGTTCCTTATATACAAAAGTTTATCTACATAGAAAAGTAAGATGGAGGCAAACTAGAACTTGCCCTCCAACTGACAGGGTGAGGCCAGTACAGCTCTCTGATTATTATTTGTTATTATTATTCAGTTTATCCTAACCTACTCTAGCAGGGGTTTAAATGAAGCAAGAAAGCCACCCTAATTTTGGAATTAAAAGAGCCCCACTGGGACTCAATCTGGTATGCCAATTTACTAGTCCAGTTAAATGGCCACTCTTTTTAACAAGTAATAGCAAGCCCTACACAAATGCATTTGCCTCATGACCCATTAATGACAGCAACAATATTGCTGTCTGCTGTTGCTAATGGCAGTACAGTACTGGTCTGACAGACAGGCATGTTTTCTGCACCACAGCAATAGCCAGCTTTATAATCTAATAATATGCAAGAATTAAAGCTAACATTTTAAATATCTTCTTGGTGCCCCACAGTATTTGGCAACTGCATTAGGAAAGGATGCACATCTCAGTTAATGCAGGTGGTGATCATTGGTTAGTTATTATTACTTCAAGACTAACATCATGTGTGGAACTACAGAAAGCAAAAACTAAGACAGCTTCTGCAGTGAGTAATGCAGACCGAAGGAGATAAAAATGCTGGAGAGAGAGGGCAAGCAATAAGGACCAAATGTTTTGTAAGGGCCCAGCTTCTAGGCTAGCCCTTATCTTGGTTCTTGCTTCTCCATCTTCATGGAGCTACTGTCTGCACACTTCAAAACTAAACAAACTTTCTGTTATGGTTGTATCCCAACATGGTATTTAAGCTAGACTAAGATGTACCACTAACTCTGGATGCAAAACAAATAACACAGTAACTAATTGTACTTTGCAATTACACTACTACTCAAAATGCTGATGTTAATAAGCAAACAAAAAAAAATAAAATACTCTGCTATTATATAATAATAAAATATTATTATTATATAATAATAAAATATTATATATAATAAAATACTCTCCCTCTGACATACCAGAGGGAGAAATGGAGGCAAGAGCAGCAGAGGCAAGGGTCAAAGAAGAAGTGAGAGGGGAGCTCAACAGTCTTTCTGAACATAAGTCCATTTTTTACAAGGGCCCATGGTTCACTGCAAAGATAACAAAGGCCAAGTTTTGCTTTTATAAAGCAGAGAGATTTCGAGAAAGTGTCAAATGAACCTGTCAAACCTCAAATGCCCTACTGGCTCAGTAGGAAACGTGACATAAAAAATAGGAGGGGAGAAAAAAGGTCCAATAAAGTTGTCTACAGAAACAGGAGTTCTGAATAATGTATTGCCAGGTACCTGGAGAGCACATGAGCATTTGTTTTCTGAACATGGCCAAATTAATCTATTTTCAAATGGAAAGACATCAGAGACAATTATATATTATCATATGTGGTCTGATATTTTCCAGTAATTTCAGTAGTTAAACGTCAGTAGAGGTCTCAGAGCTAGAATCAAAGAAAGGGAAAAATGACACTAAATGTGTCAAATTGCCCTGCCTTGCTGACACAGACAGGCAAGCGTGATCACTGAGAACATTGAGAAGGAAAATGTCCCCAAATGGGAGGCCAGCTTGAACAGAGAGATTAATTCTTTTTATTTTGGGAATTTCACAACTTTACTTGCAATTGTGGTGGGTCAACTCTGGCCAGCAGATAAGCAAGCCAACATCACTCATGCCCGCGTTCCTCTCCCAGGAACAGGAAGAGAACAGGAAGAAAAAAGGGGCAGAGAACAGGAAGAAAAAAGCAAGAAAGTCCGAGAATTGAAAAACAGTTTAATAAAGGAAGAGGGGAAAAAAATCAAACAGAAATGGAACCAAGCAATGCAAAGGCAGTAACTCATCACCTCCCACAAACAGACCAATGCTCACGTATTCTCTGAGCAGCCACAAACTTGGAAGACACCCCTCGCCCTCTTTCTTCCTCTACCACACTTTCACTGCTGTGTTTGATGCTGTATGGTACAGGATATCCCCCTGGCCAATTCAGATCAGCTGTCCCTGCCGTGTCCCCCCGCTAAGTTCTTGCCCCTCTTTACTGGGGAAAGTGGGTGCAGAGTGTGAAATACGAGAAAGTTCAGCTATTGTCAAAATATGGATGTTGGAGCCACCATTGGAGCCACAAATCACAGCACCATAGGCTGAAAAATATTTTAAAGATGCAATACTTTGGTGTGGTATGAATGATTTCCTTCTGCAAATTGCTCGGTCATACTTAGATACTTAGGTATTTACCTGTTGTTAGATATAAATTATTTTTAGATGTTTGTTATTTTTAGTTGTTTACTATTGTTACTTATCTGTTACTAAGTACCTATTATTAGCAGATACTTAAAAAGAGACTCGACAAGGTAAAGGCCTTGTCAAGCCTCTAAAGAAGAGAAATGATGCCTTAAGTTTTAGCATTCATTTTTTCCAGACTCTGTGCTGCCTAGGGGTGTAGTTCTGAGCTTCATATTAAGTGTGAGTAAGCTCTCTTCACAGAGTAGGTGGACAAAACAATTCCTTTTCTAGCTTGAGACCAAGGACAATCTATACAAGTTTCAGGCCCAAAAGCATAAACAACTGTGATCTGAAGAGAGCAAACAAGAAGGATGGGACTTCATTATCTGAAGGTGTAATTGGACAATTAACCCCAATATGCAAATGGACCAGAACTTACGAAAGTGTGAGACCTCGTGACAGGTCATCCATTTTTTTGGACTGGTGACCATTTTGGGTTCATCCTGGGTGTAGCCCTGGCCAAGCTCTTATACTGCCCAAGGTATATCCATCAAAGCCTTTTAATAAATATCTACTTTATCCTTTAACTCTAGCCTCTGTTCTTGGTCAGCCTTCTCAAGGCATCATGGGAAGCTGAAGCTGTCACAGAAATTAGGCAGAACAAATGGCAAACTAATTTAGAAAAAATATTTTATTCATAAAATGACTCAACATTGGTGCATAGACAAAATATCTTGGAGCTAGATAATTTAGTCCCTGAATACAGAAGTCAGAATAATTTTGTTCTTCCTTCAATACTGAAAATGAAAATAATAACAGAGAAATTATATCCAGAGTGGTGTTGTGAGGCCTCAGCTCCTGGTCTTTGGATGTGTAAAATCAAGGTGTCCAACACTTTGTAGGATCACTTCCTATGTTAGGATCATTTAATGAGTAAAGGGCATGTTAACTTTCCTTGAAATAATAATAATAATAATTATTGTTCCAAATAACCATAAAACCTTGATTCTTCAAAACATACATCATATGATGTATGCAGAAATTGTCTTCCTTCACTCTCACCAGAGAGGCAAACTTTAATGCAGAAACAATATACATGATAAACATGTAAGTTTTACAAAAAACCAGATTTTATATTTTAAAGCTGGACTTTTAACTTCACCAGAAAAAGAAGGTAAAGAACTCACATTAGTATCCATGACATTTTAAAACATTTGCTACCAGTTGTGAACTTTCCTAAGGATATATACATTGCTATCAAAAACTGGTAAAGGCAGTACAAGATACACAGGGAATTTCCTTTTAGCAGTGAAGACATGATAATAGTCACCCCAGCTGGATGTCACAGGAGTGACAGGTAAGTCACTCTTCCAATGACATCTAAGAATGCACTGGATACAAAAGTCAAGTCTTTGGTTTTGAAACACATTCAAATATGAAAAACACACCAACCCACCCCACCTCATTTTCTTTTGTATGGCCAGGGGATTTTCTTCTAAAAGTCCCACTATTGGAAGTTATCTGTACACTTTTCTCCTGAAAATAAATCTAACAACAGTTTTCAACACAGGTATCTTCGTTCTTCACATCTTCAAAAAGGCAACCTATAAAAGGAAGCAAAAAAATACTGTGATTAATTTCAACACTACAGGTAAAACAAAGATGCTTCTTTGTATCAATAGAAATTATATATTATAATAATCTTTTTATTTAATGACACACTAGTGCAATCAGAAAACAGAAGATGTACTGCTATTTTCCCACCTCTTCTCTACCTAACAAGTCACCAAAAAATTCCCAAACTTTCTTTTTTTGCTCAAGCACTGCCTGCATTGTAGAACTAAAATGTTTTCTTCCCCCAGAATAACAAAGAATGTTTATCTCATCTAACTTCAAAGGCTATTTGACAGTATTTTGAAACTTGCTTTGATTAAATCTTTGATACATTCCCAGTTTTGTCTGAATATTAGTTTATTTGAACAGTGCTGTCACTCTAAGTCAAATCCTGATTCCAAAGTCACAATAAGAAGTCCAAAGTCATAAAGAAAAATGTCTTACATTTTGAAATAACCAAAATCTTACCAGAGGGGAGAAGACAAATACTTGTATATGATCAGAAGATAGCAAATGATGTACCTCTTCTCTTTACTGCCCTAAGTGCACTGCCTAACAGCTATTTAGAGGGAAGGTGATCTATCAAATACAAGTGATCTATAGGATTTCTGCTGTCCCAAACTCATTTGTTCTTGGTCACACGCATGCAGCAGTTTCTCCTGTATGGCTTTGGTTTTGTTTAGCTTTCTTCAGGACATGCAGTATACTAATGCAGAAAGTTAAGTTAGCTGACTGGAAATGACACATCCAGATTCTTATCTGATAAAGAGATTGCTTCACATATTTCTTGTTGATCACAAAAACAGAAAAACAGATGTACAGATGCCTTCGCAAAAATGCAAGAAGAAAGAAAAATGACCACCAGGTTACACAACTGTCTTCTGAAAAGATACAACCTATTCCTCCTGTCTGATGAAAAACATACAAGAAAAGAACTTCTGAGACAGACACTTCCTCTTTGTTCTCTGCAAGAGCTTTCAACAGTCACTTAAGTGAAGATTAAAATTACCATCAATTACAACTCTGGATCTTCAGAGATGACCCTCAACCACCACTCTACTTGATGCTGTGACAAAAGAAGTCATGAAGCATGATCAACCAGAAGGAATTAAATGCAAGCATAAAGTATCACTGAGTATTCAGAACAGAGGATAAAACAGAGCTCAAACACTCCTTTTGGATACTGTGCCCAAAGTATGTTTAAGAGAGTTATATGTCTGCTATAAAGGATGTAAAAAAACAAAAAAAACCAAAAAACCAAAACATTTTTAACAAATCTAAGATGGTTCTCAGAGAATCAGTCACACAAAGGATTCATGTCTAAATAAAACATCTACAAGGCATAAATGGGACATGACAACAATTCTTGGTTAAGAATAGAAAAAAAAATACCATCCAAACTCACTTCCTGAACACTCTTTTGCTACTCCAAGACTAACAGCAATAACCCAGTAGAACACTGCAGTTACTGCATGAAAGAGTTTGTACAGGCAACACAACTGAGATCCCTGAAATCTCCCACATTTCCAAATAATTCTTTTCTTCTTCCGAACTGGAATTAAAATTCAGAAACAAAAAATTTCATGTCTTATATTAAACAGAAGGAAGAGATTCTTTATTATAAGGATGGTGGGGCATTGGAACAGGTTACCAAGAGAAATTGTGGATGCCCCATCCCTGGAAGTACTCTAGGCTAGGCTGGATGGGGCTTTGAGCAACCATTTGAGCGGGAGGTAAACCTGCCTGTGGTGGGAGACTGGAATGAGATGATGTCTGAGGCCCCTTCCAACCCAAACCATTCTATGATTTAAAGAACACAAATTTTCAGAAATGTCTATAGGCAAACCATGCCAACAATCAGCTGGCTCATCAAGGGTGGAAATTGGCCTGCCTTTCCCATGCAAATCTCACCACACTGACATATGCCCATAAAGTGTTTTTCAGCTTCATCAGCATTTTCTAGCAGTAAGCTGCTACATCAAAATAATTTCTGTCAGCTCAACCAAGGGGTGTTGCAAAAGTTAGAGACTACTCAACATATAGGGAAATTTATCCACTATGCCAAAGATTCCCATCCTCAAAGACAAAAATTGAAAGCAAAATCAATATGCTTGTCACCTTTCTCATGACTTAGTTGCTCAGATTAATAGAGACATAATTATGAGCAAATGTAAAATTTTAGCTCTGTGGAAGAGTCATAAGTTATACAGGCTACAGATGAAACCCTGGCACCAGTCAAATCAAAGACAAAACTCACAGTGACATTAACAGTGCAAGAGATTTGTCCTTGCATTGCAAGGAAAAAAAATAGAAGAATAAGAAAAGCAATAACCATCTCAATACACAAGACTCAAAATTTTAAGCAGATTTTTCTACCTGAGATTGCAGACTCCTTTGATACACAGTTTTGAAGTGCCATTAGAGTGGATATATTTGTTTAACTTGACTGCTTGCTATATTTTATAATGCATGAAACACACTTTTCTTCTCCTTTGAGAGAGTTATTTGCAGCATAATGCTACCCTAGACTGCTAGGCTCTCCTACTGCCCAATAAACTGAAAAGCAACGAAAGTAATAAATTATTACTGTCTGTGTTTATATTTACTACCAATGTGAATGAAAAGAGCATATTAGATCATTCCTACAGCTGACATACCAGCAAAAAAAAATGCAAATCAAGCTGTTTAAAAACCAACTGCAACCCACTAAAGTACTTCCAAACAAAATCAACTGAAACGAAACCACTTAGGAAGTTTCACCTTATCCATCCAAAGTTCAATATAAAGCTTATAAAATATTCCTTTATTATAATGCTACTGTAGATGCAGCTGGATATCTAAACAGCAGTAAATTATATGTTCTACATAATAAATGAATTACTATAGGTTGGGAAAATGGGACCATGTGGTTTTCCCCCAGTTTTCCATCTATTAGGATACATTCTCTACAAGATAGACAACTACTAGCTTCTTCCAGCTTTAGTAGCAATGCTTTCAGCAATCTGCACATCCAGTATTTCACTGCTATGAGAGGATTTTGAAAGAAAAACAATGTGCCGAACACTTATCTCATCTACAAAGGCTTATTACTAAATTCAGAATAAAAGTCAGTTCTAATCAGTTTTTTTACTGACCTTACCTCAGCACATTGTCCCCTTCTTAAAGTGCTCAGATTACTCCTTCAGTAAACAATAAAGCAGCATCAGCTTTGTTAAAAATCTCTCGGAGTCAGGACAACTTAAGAAATCCAGGTACTGATGCTCAGTTTTAGAAGATGTGCTCTCTTGGCTTTCTCAGAAAAATCATAGAATGGTTTGGGGTGGAAGAGACCCATAAAGATTATCTAATTCAAACTCCACTTGCCATGAGCAACCTGGTCAAGTGAAATATGTCTAAACACCGAGGAGTAAAAGGTGAAAGAAAACAGTTGCAACTTCTTAAAATATTTTTTAAACTATGGAGACCTAACGAATTTAGAGATAAAAGAAGGTGGTTCCAGAGGGCTGAAACTGGTGAAAAGAAATCTCTTCTACCAAGTGCTAACACTAGGTGAGCAGGCAGAATGGATGACTGCTGTAAGAGAAGCAGGAGCGTGAGAGAAGCAGCTAAACAACGTATTTTAAAGAAATGCAATCTGCAAATCATCTAAGCAAGGAAAAAGAAGTTCAGTCTTTGAATCAGCTCCAAGAACCATCCAAGGAGCCAGATTCTTACTTCCACAAAATAGGAAATAATACGTCAAAAGTTGCATTCCCATGTTGTAACACAAGTTTTGAAACTGTTCTTATGTTGCTCTCTTTTAAGGAGTCCAAGTGAACGGCACATAAAAATCCTTATGTATGTCTCTCAAAGCTGACAATGAAGGATTTTAAATACCTATATCTCTCCTAAGAGCTAAATAAAAGTATGTAGAAGATACAGAATTTCTCTTTAGTTTTAGAGAGGGAATTGTACTTCAGTTTACTTCTGCATAATTATAAAGGAAAATAGTGGGTTGGAAGTAGTTATGTATGCTTCAGTTTCAGCAGAAGAAATTAAATCTCTGAATGCTTCCTGAAATATGACTGCTGTGGTTTTTTCCACAGCACAACAAATAATAAAAAACCACCACCAGCTCAAACCTCAAGTTTAAATGTATAAAAGACATTTTACTGTTGTCTTCTTTGAACATTAGGCCAATTTTTAAACACTACCATGCCCAATTCATAATGCTACATCGTGTTTTAGAAGAACACAACTTACATGGCTATCTTAAATCATCTCTACTGCAAGAGGCAGTCTGTATATAGACAGATACCCATGCTTTAATCCTGCACATGTGCTAGTGTGAAATCAGGCGTGATGAAACGACTGCAGAGGAAACGCTGATTACACACCAGCAAGGCTACAGCCTACAATCAACATCAAATGCTGTATTTATTTCCACTCAAGGCTGACAGGTAATCAAGCAATGCCATGCTATCCATGTGCACAGGAAGAGAATAACCTTCCCAAAAAGACAAGGACAGCTGTGGGCAGACCTCTGCTCCTAGATCCAGCTGTGCTGGATGATACTAATCTCACAGGCTCATGGTGTCTCTCTGCTGCAAGTTACTATTCCTCTATCCCCACAAAAGACCACTTCAGACTTTCTCCTACAGTCTGGTGAAATCAGACTGTTACACCAAACTCTGCCCTCTGGTCTGTATTAAATGGATGGGTTTATCCTAGAAACAAGAAAGGGAGGGCTTGCACAAACAATTCTGCTGGCAGATCACAGGGGAGAGACAAATCTCTGGTGGAAATGAGAGTGAAAAGCTGAGGATAGTGGTATTTTCCACATGTACAGCTGGATTTGAAAGATAACATATACTCAAAGCCTCAGACCAGTCTAATTCATCCAGATTTGTATTGCTACAAATGTTATGGCTAGTGCTAAGTGTTATGGCTTAAGCCTTAATAACTACAGCAAGTACAACTGCTTGTGTGGTTGCAATTATATTGCAGTCAA